ATATATTTGAAATATAATAAATTAAAAAGACTTTCATAATTGATATAATAACAAGTTAAACCGTTGATTATAAATCATTATATTGTTATAAATCAACATAATGATTTACAACAACATGAGCAAACTATTAAATGACATACGTTTAATTAAAAATATGAAGGACAATATTATTATGATAATTCCTGAAAATATTAAAAGAAAAGGGTAAATAATCCTTAAAAAGGACAAAGATTCCAAAAATTGGAATACGATGAGGCGGTTTGACGCAACCAAATAGCTCATATCAAATTTGATCAGGACCGTCAATGTACGCGACGAAGAGCATCATGTGCGTCTAATTTCGTGCATGCGATCAATTGGGACTCACCCCGACCCAGGCGATAGAGAGGGGAGAGAGATGGCGGCGGTGAAGACCGCCGACGTTCTAACGGCCACGGCCGCAGCTGTTCTTTCGGCCGCCCTTCTCTCCTACCTCCTCCTCTCCGGCCACGGATTCAAGCTCCCGTGGCTTAGAGATCGTGGAAACTACCGTCGGCATAAGAGTCGCGGGAAGAGGAACGGCCTTGTCGACGCCGTCGGCAACACGCCTCTAATCAGAATCAACAGCCTTTCTGATGCCACTGGGTGTGAGGTAAAGATATTTTTTATCCAAAAAGATTGGATCTTTTATATCCTCGCTAGATTTTTCTTGGCGATTCTTGATGGCTGAGGAAGACGTCTTTTCATGTCTTTAACTTGATTCGAGAACTCATTGGTTCTTTGTCTTGATTTGTGGATTTTCCTTTCGTTTATCTTTCAGATTCTTGGGAAAGCCGAGTTCTTGAACCCTGGGGGGAGCGTGAAAGACCGGGTGGCGGTCAAAATCATTGAAGAAGTGAGTGAATGATCTATAATCTACTAGTCATTTGTTTCTATCAGCCGAGAGTGAAAGAAATGACTTCAAACATGCCAATTTGACAACCAAAGCTTTCTTCTTCGCAAGCGAGCCTTTTGGTTTATTCTGTCGTCGTTGTTGGCCATGGATTTCTATCTTGGTATTCAAGAATATACTTGATGATATGACATCACTACTTTACTCATTTTATTTGGTAGGGGGGAACATTTTCGCAGTCACACTCTGATAAGGCAATGAAGGCAATAAGAAGATAGGAAAACAGCAACATTACTGTTTTTGTCATTGTTTTTTATCTATGTTCTGGCATGTCTGATAAATATGTGAAAAGTTCCACTGATATATCTTATGTGCTTGGTCATAAAATTTGTATTTTATTGAATAATGTCAAGCTTTAATATCTTATCGATGAAATATAGACTGCAAAATGTAATCAATTGAACTTTTTTATAATGACATGCCATACTTGTCATCATCGAAATGTAATTTTATGTAGGCACTAGATTCTGGGGGCCTCATGCCAGGTGGTGTCGTGACCGAGGGAAGTGCTGGAAGTACTGCAATTAGCCTAGCGACAATTGCTCCTGCATATGGATGTAGATGTCATGTTGTTATTCCTGATGATGTTGCCATTGAAAAGGTTGGTCCATCATCCTAATTTCATCTTTTGATCTTTTGCCTGTACCGTATATTGCATTATGCAATCAATTTGCAGTCAACATGTTCTTTGATTTTGCCCGTGCTCAAATTTGTTGATGGTCTTCTAAATCGACTAAATATCATTTCATTACATTCTGCAAGTAGTTTTTAGTAAAGAATCGGACAGTACATGCAAAGAATATTTTGTTCTTTGGATCAATGCCAGTGTGTGCCCGTGAATGTTGGTCAATAGAGATTTGTTGATCATAGACACTCAGGGTACTACCGGGTCGCTAGATCCATGACTGAAGCAAGTTGTGAATCTGTTATGATATTGTGTCTTTTAATTGGTGTTTGTATTCTTAGTCCTAACATGTTGGCCTCATAAGCTTTTGGGGTTGAGTGGTGCTTCCTTGCAAAGTTCAAATATTTTGTATATCTTAGGTTAAAGTTAGCACTTAGAACCGCTACCTATACGTATGTTTTTCAAATTTATCTTGGAAACATGTTGCTATAATCTGAGGAATCATTTCATTTTAAGGGATTGCATTCACGCAATTCAGAAACTATTTTAACAACTCTCTCTCTCTCTTTCTCACTCTCACTCACTCACTCACTCACACATGTCAAACGACTTCCTGGAAGAAAGTTGAAGCATAGGAGCTCATAGGAAAATAGAGCCGATAAGCTTCTGGTTGATAATCACCAAAGTAGATGAGTGAAATACCGAGGAATTGGAGGTGCAAGTACTCCTTGAAAGATGGATGCAAATTTTAGTTCTGTTTGATCTTTGGTTTCAGTTGTAGGTTTAAATCCATACATGCACATTGCACACAACTTCAAGGCTTTAGATCAAGATAACACCTAAACAAGCCATACCTCTCTTTTGGATTGATAATACTGGCTTATTTGTTATCAAAAGAGGTTTAGCATGGAAATCAGACCAAAAGACTGAAAATTCAACCTTATTGACTCTGAGTAGTATAAACATAAAAAATATGACAAAAGAAATGATTGTGTCTTAAAGGTAGCTGCATATTATGTCGAAAGACACAACACAAGGAAGATTAGTTTCTCCCTGTTTTACTTAAATGCAGTTGTCTTTCTGTTTATTGTTTAATTTTCAACTCTGGATATTCTTTCAGTCTCAAATAATTGAGGCTCTTGGAGCTACTGTGGAAAGAGTAAGGCCTGTCTCTATTACACACAAAGACCACTATGTTAATGTCGCAAGGAGGAGGGCCTTAGAGGCTACAAATAGAGCTGCAATTCCAAGAGAAGCTGATAAAATTAAAGGCATAGACTTGCTGCAAATGAATGGTCATGCACCAAAGCAAACAGAAGGTTATCCTTGCTCTGCTGATAACAAAGGTGGTTTCTTTGCTGATCAGTTTGAAAACCTAGCAAACTTCAGGGCCCACTATGAATGGACTGGTCCTGAGATATGGGAGCAAACTCAAGGGAAATTGCATGCCTTTGTTGCTGCTGCCGGTACAGGTGGCACGATTGCTGGAATATCACAGTTTCTCAAGGTTCATCATTGTTTGTACATTAGATTTTATGCTATATCTAATGCTTTGCTCTTCTTTTTTATCCTTCTACTATCTTGATGTCTTCTTATCCAGGAAAAAAATCCAAATATTAAGTGCTTCCTTATTGATCCCCCGGGGTCTGGTCTGTTCAATAAGGTCACGAGAGGTGTAATGTATACGAAGGAGGAGGCAGAGGGCCGGCGCCTGAAGAACCCTTTTGATACTATAACGGAAGGAATTGGAATCAACAGATTGACCAAGAATTTCATGATGGCCGAGTTGGATGGAGCTTACCGAGGCACCGATAGAGAGGCTGTTGAAATGTCCAGGTGCATGCTAAATTTCCAGACAATCATATTCAATTAGTGCCTGCATATAATTTAAAAAGAGAATAAAAAAAGGAAAGTATCCCAGGTATATAGATATTTTCTGTATGGGCAAATTAAGATGCTAACATATTTACGAAATTGGAAAGAGAAAGACTGGACTTGTTACTTCTTGTAGCACTGTTGTATGACAGCGCTCTCATGATTACAGTTCCAATCCATTGATGATGTCAGACGACATATATCTTCGAAGATATAGAGATGCATTAACATAACAGTTGTCTATGAAGGTTGCATGGTTCTTTTCTGATTCTGTCACTATTTTCTCTGACAAATATTCTAGGGGTGCCAGTGAATCTTATCACTCATAAACAAATGTGTCTTATTTGAATAGACTGACATTCTTGAATTAGAAACTGTGATCATTTGGCATAATTAATTAGTCTATGAATGTTTTGTTGTTGGAGTGGCTCATGAAATTTTGTTTGTTAAATTATACATGGTTTCTGCTCATTTAAGGTCGTCATTACATTTCTGGAATATGGTTTTAGAATGCCTTTTTGGGTGCTGGACAACATCAACTCTGTCTATATGTAAGATAGGTTTCCTGAAATTTTTCGTGATTGTTTCAAGCCTAAGCTGCATATTCTTGTTTCCAGAGTTAACTTTGATGAACTGGTTAGAAAAATTTTAGGTCTTCAAACATAAATAAGCTTATCAAGCGGCCAACTTAAGACGCGCCACTGAGGAACATTGTGAATTAAAAAAAACTAGTCTGATTGTGAAGTCGCTGACTTTTACTATATTCATTGGATCAGTTAGAAAAATTGCTTTTTTGGACATCTTAAAATAGCTTTTGTTTCTGATTTTGATGAAATATGGACCCCAGCATCTCATCAGTTGATCTTTCAGTTTGTATCTTTCACTCTACAACCTGAAGTTTAATGCTTAATATCATTACTTGTGATTCCATTGCCTGAGAGTGGTGGTCTCATTATTCACATCATTTAGATTGATCTTCTTTACGTACCTCATGAGTTTCTGTTGCACAGTGCACCGCAGAGTTATTCTGTATAAATAAGTTTGAACTCCTTTGGCAAGTTCTTTTTCCTTCCTCTTCCGATATCTAGACGTTGCAGTTCACCTCATGAACCGATGGTTTGTCCTGCTATCCTCCATAGTGAAACAACTATCCAAAATGATGGTTGATTCTGGTTTTTTATTTTTTTTTATTACATGTATTTCCTCGATCCTAACCAAGTTTATGAACAGCAAGTACATATATATATACTTTCTCATATATATCCTCTCAGGTTTCTTCTGAAGAAGGATGGACTATTTCTCGGGAGTTCTTCAGCGATGAACTGCGTTGGAGCTGTACGATTGGCACGATCCTTAGGTCCAGGACACACGATCGTAACAATTTTATGTGACAGCGGGATGAGGCATCTGAGCAAGTTCTGTAATGCTCAATATCTGGTCGATCATGGACTGACACCAACTGCGACCAATCTGGAGTTTCTCGATCACTCTTGAAGTTGTATAGCCTGGCGGCGTGCCAGAATTCATACACATATATCGGCATCATTCAGGGATTTCTTCTCATTGCTACCATCTGTGCTGAATACAGATGTGGCATCTCAGGAGATTTGTCACTGAAGCTCTCATCATGCTTATCTTACTGCATATTATGATGGAGCAAGAGATCATGCATGAAGCCTCTTCGTAAATGCAAGAGATGTGTGTGTTCTTGCTTGAGAAGCGTAGCCAACACCTAGGTATTGTTGTTTAGGGTTATTTATATGGAGTTCCTATTGCTTGCTTACACATTTATTCTAGGGATTTGAGGATCTTGGTTTTTTGTTCATGGTACTGGGATGATTAAGAGTCTCCTTTCTTTTCTACTTCCTTTTATATTCTGTGTCCAACTTTTGGATTTTTTGTGTCTAAATTTTGGGTATGAATCTCCATTTCGGCTGTAATCCAATATGCTTGCCGGGTTGGATATGGATCGGATCCCTTTATAATCCGTATAAGCTCATTTTCAATCCGAACCCGACAAGAATAGTGATTAAAACTAATAACGATACACACAACCCCCGCCATATGCTTAGAAGAGAAGCTCTTTCAACATTCATAGTAACATTATAGTAGAATGTGTTCAGAGAAAAATTACCATCTAAAGTTATCACTGGAATAAGCACTTCGAGCCGCAAAGAATTATCCGATCGGATGCTAACTTTTTTTGTTCTTCTTATGAGTAGATTATCTGCATGAACTAATTGAAGGAATTATTGAAACAGGAGACATGCAAGTAAAAAAAATCGACGACAATTATAGGATTTTACAAACAGTCGCTGAAATTATTCAAAAGAAAAAAATTAAAGCAAAAGTTGTTTTTCTTGCATGAAAAGTACCTGAATATGTCCAAGTTCAATAATAAACTATCACACTCTGAAATGGTTCATTTTATGATCTCAAAAGTGTGTTCAGATGACAAAGGCAGAGTCAATTGAGACAAAGTAGGTGCACATCAGTAGCAGAACAGGGTATAATTTCATTATGGGTCTCAAACTACAACAGGAGAGGAAAGAAATACTTAACACAGGGTAAGGAAAGATGGCCATGCCAGAGTGTTATCACAAATTTCTTGACTATGATGAACCATTCTCCGAACTTAATCTTAATAATTACGGCTACAGCGGTGAAAAGTCGCGACACATGTTCGGGACAACCTCATCTCCTGCTTTTTGAATATAAAGAAATGTCGTGCGACTGCAACGAAAACAAATACATAGTAACTGAAACACACGGTTCTCCATTTTGCATCATAAGAATGTTTACTCATTTAAGAAAATTTGCGGACCAAATGTTTACTTATTATCGGCATGTCATCTGTTAGCACTACAATTGCAAGTATAACATGCTTGGTACTAAAGAGCAAGACCATAAATACCACAAAGTGTTCATTGGTAGGACAACCTGTAAGATCTGAATGCAAATAATTTAGTAACAAAATTTCCTACCTCAAGGTATGAAAGTTTGTTTCATTCAAAAGAAAGCATGCTCTACTCATGCTACTATGACTAAGCAACAAGCCTCATCCACTGTACACAAGGCAAAAAGTTCATGATCTTCTCTTCATTGATTGCATCATCCGTAAGAATACTAATATCATTGCAGCGACATTAAGCAACAGGACTAAGCAACAAGCCTCATCCACTGTACATGAGGCAAAAAGTTCATGATCTTCTCTTCATTGATTGCATCATCCGTAAGAATACTAATATCATTGCAGTGATATTAAGCAACAGGAAAGTAAAGGTCGAGCTGGAAAAAGAAACTGTTGGTTCCATCGTGCGGATGCTTAATCTAGTGGTGCAGTCCACGCAAGTTATAAGACATAAACCTTCAGCTCAAAAAACGAATGAAGTGGGAAAACATTGTGCCATAACAAATATCTATAGGAGAGGACCTCAAATTTAAAGGATATAGTAGAAAAAATGTTCACACAAACATAAGATAAAAGCACTAAGTAGTCAGAGACACTCAAGTTCACAGTAAAAAAGTTCGGGATCATGATTTCAACACTCATCCAGAGCATTACGAGTATGAAGTGGTTACAATGAGACCAAACAAGGTTTCAGATGGAAGGGCCAAAACTGTTTGCCAATTATAGGACAGGAAAGTAAACAGGAAATTGCATAAAAACAAAGGAAAAATCAAAAGAAGAACAAAAACTGTAAACCAGGCCCGACAAGAACGTTAATAGATGATCAATTAGTCGAAACAGGATCCCTAAGTTTTCTAAAAACATGGAAAGAGAAAAAAGAACCGCATAACCTAATTGCTAGAAATTAGAAAAACTACTTAACATAACAAGATCTGGGGCCTCTACCATTTTAAGAACAGTTAAGGCAATAAAAATCCTTGGAACAGTAAAAAATTGATGCTGCAGTCCTATGAGATTCAAATATATAAATCAATTATGAGTCCTTACTGTGTATATGGGAGGATTGTCACTAAAACAAAATAAAAAGACACAAATAGCGTTCATGGTTATATTATATAAAGTAGCTTTCATAATAATATAACTCATCTTAAGCGAGCATGAGATCAATAAATTAGTATGTCTACAAAACAGTAGGAGAGTTTAGCCCTGAGACCATTCCAATGCTCTTACATTAGTTTAAGGAGCCGGTAGCAATTGGTTCTAACTTTCTATGTTAGGAATTGGATATATATATATATACATATATATATATATACATATATATATATATACATATATATATATATACATATATATATATATACATATATATATATACATATATATATATATATATACATATATATATATATATAGAAGATTTGAGACTTAAGAGCATTAAAATGCTCTTATAATAATTTTAAAACCAGTAGAATTTTCAAATTTGTCGATAAGAATTAAATACTTCATTGTTTATAGACATGCCAATTTGGTGGAAAAAAAATTATTGGCAAATAAGGCCGGCATAACTGAGAAATAAAATGAAGATTATCATATCAGATATGAGGAGAGCATGCAAAGAGAACTTATATGGAAGATGACAAACAAGAAGAAATACTCTTTGAGATCTACACAGCTTAAGAGAGTTCTAAATTAGTGACATCCCATTAACCATTTTCCAGTCTCACAGGATTAGAATGGCAGCAAATCTTGTACATATTTCAAGAGAGTCCCAACAAACTATGAGCACAAGTTCTTACTACTGAATGCAGATGCTGTCCTGTCTCCAAGAACACCATTTTGCCTCTTCCTCTCACCTACAAAGAAGAGTTCACTGTCACAAGTTCCAAAGATCAAATGTTTGTATCATTTAGAAATGCATTGCAGTAAACCCAATCCCAATTCGCGTTCTCAATATTAAGGTTATGAACTTGAACAAACCATCAGGGAAAATAAGAGCATTCGAGCATTAGAAGATAAGATCACAACATAAGGCCGACAGAAATCATAATTTCACGCCGATGATTACGGGGTACAAGAAATACCTAACAAGGGATCACGCGCACCTATTGCCCGGCGTCGTCGGAGAACCGGGCGTCAAAGGGCGCGGAAACATGGGGATGGGCCGCAGCGGCGGCGGCTGCGCCAACCCCGGACCCGTTCTGGAGCTCGATGACGAGCCACCTGACGGCCTTGCTCATCTGCTCGAGCCGGACGGCGCTGATGGGCGGGATCCCGGGTGCCGTGGCAGGGCGGCCAGCCTTGGAGGGTGCGGCGCCGGTTGCCTCGTCGACTAAGCACTCGGAGCCGATGCGCTGCTTCATAGACTCAACGAACTCCTCGGCCTGGTCGCAGGCGACGCGGAAGAGTTCCCACCGCTGCTTGAAGGCCTCGAGCGCGGCGTCGGTGACGGGCGTCTTCTGCCCGCCGGACTGCTCCTTTGCCTCCAGGGCGGCCGCCGCCGCAGCTACGAACTCGTCATAGGCAGCGCTCAGTGCCTCCACGGTGCTCTCCATCGCCTCCGCCCGATGCGTGGTCGTCGGTGACGGGAGAGAAAAGTGTCAACTGCGACCGGGCGGCCCAGATAAGATCAGTACGAACCATCGAGTATATCGTTGGCCATTTACGGATCTTAAAGCAGTTTGGTCCTGTCACATTACGTGATTCGTGAGACTAATTCGATGATCACGGGATTACAAATGCTGAGATCACAGAAGCCACATCAAAGGTGGAAACCAAAGAGTTTTTATCCAAAGAAATTAGAACTCGAGAAGGATAAATAAGGCGAATGTTATTTAGGTATTAATCTTATCATATTAGAAATGGGTACGATGAATTTATGAATTTTTGATACTCATACGTCTCAATAAATGTGGGACTAAATGATTTTATCAATGTAACATATGTAGCATGATATTATATAATATATATATATATATTTTTATTTTAGATAGATAATAAAATTATTATATTTTATTTGATCATAATGTATTAACTACTTTATATGTGATTGATAAATCAATTTAGGTAATATATATGTTTTTATCTTTATTAGATGCATTACACAAAAAAGTACTTAGTGCATCCTCTCTGAGCATAAGCATTAAACCCATTCTTTCATCTCCCATGTGATATATTTTTTCTTATGACATAAATATTCAATACATACTAAATAGACAAATAATATCCTCACACGTAATACGTTTATCTAAGATTTAAAGATTAACTTATGAAATCATTATCCTTTTTATACCAAAAATAATTATTAAAATATTATAATACGACACGAAAAAAATATTTTTAAATTATAATGAGAGGACTAATAATATGACAATTATCCATAATGAATATAAACTTAATCCATCAAATTTAGTCAGCTTTGAAATGGCACATGCCATATCAAATATGATATCCAAATATATTACATCAAATTTGGATTCGACCAAAATTATCGAGTTTAAGGTTATATTATAAATTACATGGGTGTCCAATTTTAGGCTCACAATGACAGTGACAAAGAAATATTCTCATAATAATATGACAGAACAACTAAACAGTGACCACAATTAACTACGTGGAAGCATCATTTCATTGAATGATTGAATCCATGCAATGAACATATGTGTATGATTAGAGTCCAAACAACACGTCAATTCGGATAATGGATGAAATGGCATTGCGCCTGTCATCATTGTTGCCTGAAGCTTTGGGCTTCAAGAACGGATTTAGTTTGAACGCAAAGACTTCGCGAACCATATCGAGCCGCAAATTTTCAATTGATTGATCAAATGCCGTGATTTTGGAGAAAAGAACTAAACATCGACATCGGAAAAATTATTCACTTAAAATCTTGTTAGAATAATATATATTTGAAAATGATTTCATGCATTATTCGACGCTACGGAAGTGTCAATCATTTGACATCGAGATGTCGATCAATTAGTATCGAGATATCGATCACTTAACATTAATATGTTAGTATTTGACGTTGAGGTATTGATCACCGTTGAGATATCGGATAATTGACACTTCGATATTGTCATTATTTTAAAATATATAAAAAAAATAAAAATTATTGGGTAATCGTGCCAACATAACGTCGAAAAGATTAATCAAGACAGGAATGCTTTTGATTAAAATTTTTCATGCAATCAAATAAGATCATATCAGAAAAATAATAGACATTGCAAGAGGTGGACGGCTTAGATTAATGGTTCAAGCCTCCCATCAACTAGAACCGTCATTTTCCAGACGAACGGTCGAGATCGCAGTGGGCCACGAGATTCACGCGCTTTAAGCCGCAGATCAAAATAGCGCGCTCCTTCTATGCTTATCCAGTTGGCACCTTCCAGACACGAACCGCTTCTGCTCTCTCTCAAAGAAAGCACAATCTCTGTAGGGCATCATCGAGCCGTCTATGTCTCTCACGTCATCGATCTGAGGCTTCTGATCCAACGGTTAGAGCTGCACCTCCGCCCCAAGAAACCAACAAACTTCCCCACCCACCCGGGGCCCTTGGCGACCCGGTTCATGCCCCGGTCCGCTTCGTCGCCACCCCAGCGGCCATCGAGCCGGAGACGTTGCAATGTAAATGACCCCCAAACAGATGCGAAATCTCGAAAATGGTTAAATGATAATAAATAGATGTAAAAGGCTGGAGGGAGAGAGAAAGAGAAGGCATCTCGTGTTCATTCGAGGGTTTTCCTGGGGAAGAGCTATCCCTGTGCCCAGCCTGGTAGGAGAGAGAGAGAGAGAGAGAGAGAGAGAGGAAGGAAGAA